ACGAGATCCGCTGGTCCCCAAACCAGACCCCCTCCGGTCCTTGGCTGCGCCTAGAAATCCTGTCCATAAAAGTTATGAACAGGACCGGTGACAGATAGGGTTATATATATATATATATATATATATATATAAAAAGCTTCCTGGGTAGGAAGCGAAACATCTTCAAACATGGAAAACAAAGACCAGTGTGTTGTTGTTTTTTTTACTTTTTTGGTTTGGCGTAAAAGCAACACAGCCCATCACCCTGTACCCTGTAACCCTTCACAACTGTCAAACAGGTTTGGACCTGTTTTTCTTAATCAGGGACAGTAAAGATAGCTAAAATGGATGGGAAGATGGATGGAGCCAAATACAGGAGAAGAAAACCTGCTAGAGTGTGCAAAAGACCTAAGACTGGAACAGACATTTATTTTCCAAGGCAATGATCCAAAACATAAAGTCAATTCAATGTATTTATATAGCACCAGTTCACAACACGTCATCTAAAAGCTTTTTATAGAGACAAATCAACCAGATCATACAGTCAAATTAACTCAAAGTTTTTTTTAGTGACAGTGGAGAGGAAAACTCCCTTTTTACAGGAAGAAACCTCCAGCAGAGGTACAAAAGTTTACTGTCGACCAGCTCCACAGGCAGCCCTGTGCAGGAAACACATAGCCAGGCAGATGAGCTCCTAGGCAGCTCCCATGTCAGAGGATGAAAGAGAACACATCCAATTTGTCACAGTCAGAGAAACAGGTCTACACTGAATGGATGGTGTCACAGCAAAACAGGAAAGGACCAGATGAAGCTACTGTGATGAGAAAGAACAGAGAGAACATAATATTATAGATTGAACTAACAAATACTGCAGAATGGGAGAATAGATAAAGAGTGAAGCAGAATGATGAAAAGGCTCTTATCATATAGGGCCTTGAAAATTATTTGTACATTTCCATTTGTTTGAAAAACCCAAACTATCCTGGCCTCCTGTAAGAATACTATTATCAGCATTACTGAATATGGATTAGCTGTAATTAGCCACAAATTATTTGTTTATTTGTCTTACCTGTAAAACTACTTAAACAGAACCCTTCTGGTCTGAAAACATGAAGCAGGATAAAAAACTTTAAAAGCAACACACCACAACCAGACCTAAAGAAATTTAAGCTTTAAGCACAAGAAAGTCTCTGACATCTATTTGTCTACAATGTGTTACATTCTCTTGGTTTACACAGTGGTACACTACAAAACAAAAGGAAGAACTACAAAATTATACTAAGAGTCAATCAACAACTAACCCATGGGGTCATAAAAAGCCCCAGAGAGATACAAACTACTGTGGACATCATTGCGGAACGAGCAGAGATGTTATTGGTTTGTTAGCAGGATCAATTGAAAACGTATGAATAGATATTTTTTTTCTTTACCAGAGGCTTACTTGGCCAAGGAACGGAAAATAACTAACTTAAACGTGGTAATAATCCAGATCATGTGTGAATTTTAGCTATATGGATGTCACTATTTGGGGCAAAATATGCTTCTTGGTGGAGGTCTGTGCTCTCCAAGTGCTGTTCTAGTTTCAACTTGTTTGCTAAAGATCTCAGATTGCCCATCATGATTAGTGGAACAGATTAATCCCCTCCTTCGCTTTCTTCTCCTTGCTCCTGCTCTGCATCCTGGGAGCAACCTTTTCAAGTTATGCCTGGAACTTGTGGAAGTTATTTCAGTATAATTTCAGCTTTTGAGATTTCTACCAGCCGTTTCCTGTAGTAAAAAAGAACATACAAACAACAAAAGAAACAAAAACAACTTGCAATGGTTATTTATCATAACAACTGTCCCAAAATGAGCTTGCAGAAAGAAGGTTCTAGGTTCAATTCCTGGCCTGCGGTCAGTCACACTGAGCAGTGGAATTCTAGAAACCAAGTCTAACTTGACCAAACCTGCTATAAATCATATTAGGCTCTTATCTGGTTACCTTTCTATTTTCTTTGCCTTTCAATGACATTGCTATCGGAGTCAACATTAAAATCTCTGCTTAGAGGAAAATCTAAATTAATTACAACTCATTAGATACAATAAATCAGATTCTACCCATTTTCCAAGCCCTCTTGTTTTTCAGTTTCAAGGAGGGTTTGAAAAGAGTCTAGACTATCACTGAATGGAAACACAAATCAAGCCCTAAAACATGAACTGAAATCTCTCATATGCAATGTTCTGTATGTCACCTTCAATAAGAACAAAGAAAGACCTCAGATTGTATCATTATATTTAATGCTTGTGTGCAAGTCTTGCTGTTTTGGTGATTCCCCCTCTCTGATGAAATCTTTATTCATCTTTGCGGCTTTTAGGCTGCATCTTCATCAGGATTAGCCAGCTGTAACATGGCAGGACAGGCTAATAGAATGCATTTTAAACTTGAGCTGTGACAATTTTATCAGTGAAATGTTTGCAAGAGTATAAAATGCAAATGTATCAAATAAATGAGAGTATAATATGTTAATTTTTGTGAAAAATTCAATCATCTCTTTTGTTTAGTTCACATTAAGTAATCTTTTCTACATTGACACAAGTTGGTCCACCAGCGTGTTTTAGTCAGCTTCTTGCTTGATCATATTTGATACAAAAACCCTGGTTTATTTATATCATAAGGTGTAATTTGTTCAGAGCTTTAGTGGAAATAAATAGGGTAGCAATGTTGATGTAGATAAGAGATCTATGGTTTTTATGCTTTTGGCAAGAAATCAACTCTCAAGATATTGACTTCATGAATTTCATTTGGGAATTCATTTAAATTGGATTAGTTTGGTTTCATTAACTAATGGGTTTTAAAGGTTATCAGAAGGACATCTCTGAGGTTTTGATAACTTCTCTTGTTTATAGATGTTGGAGATTGGCCTGTTTTTCCAGTGTAGTCCTGTTTCTCTGACTGTGACTGGCTGGATGTGCTCTCTTCATCCACTGACATGGGAGTTGGCTCTGAGCTCTTCTGCCTGGCTGTGTGTTTCCTGTACAGGGCCGCCTTTTACAGTTGCTTTTTGCATCTCTGCTTCTGTCTCCTTGAACCCCAGTCGGCCTCAGCAGATGGCCGCTCACTGAACCTGGTTCTGCTGGAGGTTTCTTCCTGTTAAAAGGTAGTTTTTCCTCTCCACTGTCATTGCAAGTATGATTAGTGTGAGGGGTTGCATTGGAGTCAATGAGTTGATGCAATCAACTGGTTTTTCTTAGATAGAAAACTTTATAGAAATAAACTGAATTGCATTGAAAATTCCCTTCTGCGGCCAAAATTTCAAACCGTGTGGATCAATCAACAGAGAGCAAAACGGACGAAGTCAATGCGATGTGAGGACCCGAGAGATTTCATCTTTTACCCTAAGAATGATCAGTTTAAAACAAAAAACAACAATATTCAATTCTCTCTTGCATCTAACTAGTAATTTCTATTAAAGAAACTTCGCTTCCCTGAGGAAAACATGCTTCTTTTCCCTGCGCGCAATCACAGCAGCTGAAGTCGGTGCGCTGTTGCGGAAGACCTCCCTGCAGTCTGCAGCATGCGCTCCTCTCCATCCTCTAGATGCACAAAGACCTTCATCAAATGCCTTTCAGCTACAGAGTCTGATAGTATGGCACCGCTGTAATGTTTTTTATTGCTTTTTTTGTTTTGTTTTTATTTTGGTTTGACGCACTGATTTAGGGAACTTAAAACGCAACAATCTCCGTTTATGTGGAAGTTTGGGAGCGTGTGTCGCTCCGGAGGAGAGGCAGCGATGGCGGTCCCCCTGAAAACAGCGCTGGCTCTGTTGGTTTCTGCCCTGGCAGGTGAGTCGTTTTCTAAAATATTGCTTTTTTTCTTTCGTTGTTTTTTTATTTTTATTTTGGATTGGCGTCTTGAACCTGCCTTTACTTGCTTCTTGTTGCACAGTATCTTGACCATATTAATTATTCCTCGTCTGTAGTAAAAGGTTATTGCATTTCCTGACCCAAAGCATGAAATATTTGTTTATTAAGTTCAGAGACTACATTTGGAACTGTATTATACATTGTATATTTTTTCTGTGCAAGTGTTTAATCAATAGTTAATTTTATCGTGTAAAAATACCATCATGCTGCATGCAGTAAGAGTAGGACATTACAGCACAGGGTTCAATTAACTTCCTTTAATCAAAGAACAGGTGGAGTGAAATATGATTGTGTGTGCATTGATTGCATACCTTTGATTTAAACCTTAATCTAAGAAGCAAAAAATTGTGTTTTATGTTTTGTAATGTGGCTGCATAGCGTGCAAAAATAAGGTAATTCAAATTAGGAAAAAATCCTATTTCTTATTTGCCCAACAGTATATACACTACTTTGACTTTCAACATAACATTTTACATACTTAATGTTACAACCACAAAATTTGGAGGGTTATTTTGATTTTTTTTTTTTTTTAGTAGAGTCCCTAATTGTAACAGGTGTACTGATGCATAAATCATGCATGGTTTAAAAAAACAAACAAAAATAAATTGGCCCTCACATCTACATAGAACCTTTTGGACCACGATTTTTAGAGCAATTTGACTGGTACAAATCACACACCTACACTGCTCATGCAAACAAGTCTTCTTACAGATTATTTTCAACTCTGTGTTTTGTTTAACCACTTTTATAAAAAAGTTGCCCTATTTCCCAACTAAGCTTTGATCTCTGGAGCTCCTATGGATTTAGCTTGGGCCTGTCATGGTTTTGGTTCTGTTTAAATTTTATCTTTGAGTTTTCATTGGTTTTATTTCCATTTATTTGTTATTCTAGTTATTTTTGATTGTATCTGAGTTCTTAGGTATTTCTTGTTTGCACTCTGTTGCCCTCTTGTGTCAGTCTCATTTTCCCTAGCTCCCTTCTAGACTCCTCTGTTCACACCTGCTCCCAATCTGCTGATTAGTCTTTGTTTCTCTCTCCCATATATGCACCTCCTGCTCAGTCACTGTTTGCTGGTTTCATTTCTTCCCCTGTTAGTTTTTTGTATTTCTTCTTCTTTTTTTTTTGCTGTTGCTTCTGTTGCCTTTTTTCTTTTTTGATAAATCTACAAGAAACCACCTTCAGCTTCAGTCTCTGCATTTGGGTCCTCTTTTCAAACCTCCATTCAGCCTGACAGGGCATGATGGAGTAAACAGTTTTCTTTTAAGGTACTCAAATCATGGAATATGTTGAACTGTCCAAATCCTCATTTAATCTTCCTTTTTTTAACAGTCTTTGTCTCATGAAACTGTTTAGTTTCTTATTTTCTGTTACAAACCTCTGAGGCCTTTATAGAAGACATGCATCTGATGTCAGTCAATTTTGTTACTCGCTACTCCTCTTTGGACAATAAAACAAAATGCACATAGAACACGACCTGAAGCTATTTATTTTATTTTTTTCTCTATATAACCTTGAAAACACAGAGACAAATGGGATCATGGATCAGGATTATGCTCAGCATATCGGTGTACCAACTGACAAGGAAAAAAGACTTTAATTTTATCGCTCCCCTAAAGCCCCAAAAGGCCAATAATATGGGTGGGTGCCATGAAGAGACGGAGCTGGCAAGCAGAGTTTGCAGCGATCACTTCTTAAGGTGCATTCAGGCCGACAGCTGTGTTCACAATAATTTCATGTATGATGCTTGAAACATGTTTTTAAAAGTTTAATTTGTAAAAACCTTAAACAAACCTTTTTGAAATGTTTTTTTTTTTTTTTTTAGATTGGCACTCCTTTTTGTGTTAGTCTGATAAAATACATTGTTTGTGGATGCAAAATTTTAAAAAGATGAAGGGATTTGATATGTTTCCAAAGTTTTAAATGTACACAGAGCATGCTACCATTCAGAAACAAACTGTCCCTACCACCTAGAGGAGTAGTTGGAGAGCAAGGGTCCGTTTCATGAAGTAGGTTTAATAAATTCAGATTCAAATCCACAACTCTAAATTGATCTAGCCAAAGTCGGGAACTCTGAGTGTTTGGTTTCACAATGGGTGCCATCAATTAGTTCAATCAATTTTAACTAGGTCCACTCAGAGTTAAGCGTGTGTGCAAAAAAGTAATGAAAAGCAATTATTGGTGGAGCACCAATTTGACAAGTCACCATGACAACAGGCAACAGGAAGTGCCTATTTCAGCCCACTGAAACTAGAGATTTTAATGCAGAAAAGGAAAATGTGTTTAAAGCACAGAGAAACAGCGCTACAGCTACAAAGGAGTGGCAAATGGCTAAGGAGAAGATTGTTGCTCCAGTTAAAGCATGTTTATATGAGGCGGGCTTTGGCAGGCTGTTTTTACATTTACTAAAAACACTTCTCTAGACTTCCAGAATGTTTATTCTAGATGTGGAGAATGTCATTTTGTTTGAAATGGTAATTTAAACAATGAAAACATGTCCAGTAAAACTAGTACAGATCATACATATCTAGTACATATCATACATATCTAGTACATATGAAAACAGCTTGCCATAGCCTGTTGTTACCGTGAAAATATTACGGGATATTTCATGAATGGTAGTAGATCAATGTATCTATTTAGTTGAAATCTTCTGGCAGCAGGTGAGGATGAAGAATAAAAACATTGTTCTAATATATAGAACCTGTGGTTCATACCATGCGTCCCTCCTTATGTTGATTCAGTCTTCTTTTACACAGTTAAGTGGCTGTTTGCAGGCAAATTGCCATTATAAGCTGCTATCAATCCCATAGAATGCCCTCAAATTGTGCCAGTAGGCTCTTTAGGTTGTTATTGACTGAATCCTAATCCTAAACCTAAAGTAATTCCTTTCCTCCCGTGGAATGAATGAATCTATTTATGTGTAATCTGAGAATAATTTCAGTAGTTCTTCATGTGCTGTAAATATAACTAAATAAAAAATAAAATGATCCATATCTCGCTGATATTAAACAAACCAAAAAAAAGGAATCTCCTGTCCTGTCACTGAGTTTTGGAATTCTCTCCCTATAAATATCTAATTTGCTGTGAAAAAGTGCTGATCATTCTTTAATAAGATCCTCATCGAAAGGACATACATCATTTGTGTGTGACCGAGTGAATGATATATATATGAAGCCTTATGCAGCAAATAAACCAGGGTTTTTGTATGGCCTAATAATTTTAAGATTTAAACAAAGCCCGTTTGATCACTGTTCCATGTACAATTTCTCTAAATAACCCATATTTTTAATTGGTATCTTAAGTCTTCTCTTTGCAGCTGACTCACTCCATTTTTTTTAAACATGTTTCAGTTTTTTAGGGAGATCAACAATTTAACTAATAATGATTTTGTGCCTAAAAAAAACTCACATTTTTATTTTTCCCACCGAATAAATATACTAATAACATCCTAACAATTCCTCCTTAAGATTTATAGTGTTTGGCTAAGCATATTGTATGTATTTAGTGTGAGTATATTATTTCGAATTTAGGTAGAACCCAAGCTGACCTTTCTTTTAAAAGTCACAATGCTGTAGCTGAGAACATATTAAATCTATTTTCAGAGCTTGATATGTCCCTTTTTAGTGTAAACAGGTATATATGTCTGGTCACTTCATTGAATGAAAACTCAGGGTAGGAACGAATCCAGTGAGATGGAGTTATTACTTTGGTTATCTTCCGCATTGTTCTAATAGGAAATATTCTCAAAAGAGGAGAGAACGAGGCAAAGGACCCAAAAGAAGTCAGATACCTCAAGATAATAATAGATAATAGATAATAAACATCTGGTAGGATCAGAACAAATGGTTGAGGATGGATGAGTGGTCTCCCAATACCTAATCTCTTCCCCCCAAATTTCATTTTGTATACCCTCTATGTATAGCAATTTCTATAGCTCCAGCAAGGAGGACATTATGCTGCATATCAATAAATTACTAAGGTATACATAATAATCTGGTAAAGTCTCATTTCTAGTACAATTTTGAGGTTTTTAAAGAGGATACTTGTGTATCTGAATAGCAAAAAATATCAATGAAAAGTCAAAAAGAGTTAAAAATATTTGTATTTACTCAATACATTGTGGTGTTTAAAATGTGACTACTGAGCTGAATCTTTCAAACGCAGAATGCCACAAAGCATAACGTGTGGACTTAAATATAAAACGTAACATTCAGGATAAAAGAAGCCTAATATTTTATTCAAATAACAAAAGAGATTGTAAAAATACACATTCAACTGCTCAAAAAGCATACCTTTTTATTTAAAGAGCTTCTGTGTTTTGGGAAGTTGTCTTCAGTGTCTGTGAGTGTGCAGCAGAACTGTTTTTATGTTCATCTCTTTAGCTGTGGGTCTACCTTTCTGTAGGAATGGTGATTATTTACAGTATTGCCCACCTTGCACAGCTCCACAGCAGTTATTTTCGCATCCAGGGGCGACGAAACTTCATGAAAAAAAAGCCCTCTTTGAAGAGTTGTGTATTAATTCTGTTTACCCGTACTCGCATGCAGTTCAGTTGCAGGTTTTCCTTGACTGCTAATGTCCACATTGCATCGGCAAAGTATGCAGAAGTCATGGAATGATTCTGGACTACATTTGGTTATGAAGTCATGCTCATTTGTCCATTCAGAGATAAATGAGGTCTTGCTTTTTTTCAATATATAACTAAGCAGCACTTTGATCTTTGTTTACTTTTTTAACCAATGACAAGCACATTTTTCGGACACGGGACCACTCTTGGCCAATCATCTGTTAGACCAGATAGTCAATGCATTTTTTTTTACATCCTATGATTGGGTATTGGGCTGCACCCCAGCAAAAATGGAAAAAAAAAATGCTCTACAAGCCTTGTGTCTCATAAAGGAGGACAAATACATGTCCGT